AGCCCAAGCAAAATTTATAATAGATGAAACTACCAGAATTTGCAGTGATTAAGAAGAGAGAGACCAGTAAGAGATTCCTCAAGAAAGCATAATGGAAGAACAAAGCAGAGTTGAGAACTCTGATTTTACTGCGCAGCGCTTTCAGTCACAGATGCCTAACCTGCATCTGTTAAGACAAAAGGCCAAACCAATCCCAGCTATCAGTGAATATCCCCCTCCCTTTTGTGAGCACATAAAATTAAACCAAAGTTACCACCAGATTTTCCCAAGTTCAGATCTTTTTTAGTCACCTTCACTAGGGCCCAGCTTTCAAATACAGCCAGATCACATCTCCCTGCGACATTCTTTGAATGTTGTGCCAACACAGAAAAGGCTTTCTTGAAAAACTAATGCCGATTGCAAGTGTTCAGCCCTTCTCTAAATTCACTTCATAACGTTCACTTGTTTGCTGTAGTGTGACAAATAGTCTCATGTTGGATCAAAAAATTACACATGCCTAAGACATTATAGGTTATGAACTATATTTTATAAATTCCTCCTATTTCGGCTTGAACATTGCTGTCTCAGTTTCAAAAAAAAAAAGAAAAAATATATTTAGGGAATATTCCCATTCTCCAGTAGATGGCCCATGCTAAAACACCTCCAGGATGCTGAAAGAGGCAAGTTGTTCTTATCCTACCCCTCAGCATCTTCCTTCACCTGGAACTGCAAAGGGTATTGAGGTCAGTGGGAACCCGTCCAATCTCAGCAGAATTTGGATCTAGCCACAAATACTATTTTATAAGGCTCCAGATTTGAAAGAAAAATAAACATGTTTTTAGACTGTGGTATTGTTTCAACACTCCAAGTAAAACTGAGCTGAAAAAGAACGGAACTGAAGACATCGTATTCTTTTTACAAACACAAGTCAAGAATTACCTTAATTATATATGGGATATAGGGGTGCCACAACATATTAGAATGAAAATGACTTTTTTTGCAGAAGCAATGTGCAAATAAGCAAGCATAACATATCCAACTGTGCCCCTTTCTTAACAAAACTACGTGAACAAAATGCACCCTTAAAAAAACGTATCGCTGTACTATTTCCACACCAATCAGGCAGCAAAAAATTATCCTAAATTAAAGCTAATGTAATGAGATGCAAATTAGCTATCCTACACAGTTGTTGCACATACTACTTGCCATGAAATAAAGTATGAAGAAAACACTCTTTCATATCAAGCTGATGCACTTGCAATTATTTCAGAATTAATACAACTTTCAATTAAACATTGGATTTTATATGAAAGCAGAATGATTAGGAATGCTTTAGGCTTTTTTTCCTAAAATAAAATAATAATAAAAGAAAGCTAACTAGAGGAGAGGTCATTAATTTCCCTGTATGATTCCATTCTTCTCTGCAGCTGTGACATTAAGGTTAAAAAATATCACTGCCTGACTTAATACAACTTCTAACTTGTTGCATGAAAAGCATTCTTTTGGAGGGGAAAATCTAAACAAAAAGAAATTGGAACCTGCAACTCTGTGGTCCTGAAAGAAGTGGGAAGAATGAAGTGGCCTGCTTGAGTAGTTTTCTTCATACTATTTGGACTTGTAAATAAATTGCCCTTGATTCTATATTACTTTGTCCACTGATAATCACTTAGGTCCATGCAGAACAAAAGTGATCTGGGTATAGAACAGTAATTTGCTGTCTCTGCACTTTACCTCTACCCGTACAGAGGTTTCGCACTGACACACATGGGATTTGCAAAGCTGACTAACCTGCTTTTGCTGCCTCTCATACACCTCTTCTACAAACTGCAACATAGAGCAAACCCATTTCCTCCAACTACCACATTTTTCTTTTCATGATTATCCTTTAAAAGGCACAAACTGAAAGTGAGATGCAGAGCTAGTGGACTTTTTTGAGCTATGGTTGAGGATAAAAGTAGTATGACCCCCTAGATAAATATATGGTTCATTACAAGTGTTCTGGATCACTATATTTACTGATCAAAAGCCTAAATCACACACCTAGTGACATTAAGGAGCTATATTATGATTCGAGTTAGATGAGGAAAAAAACTCTACATGAGAACAAAAGGGAAAACCTAGGCATTACTACTAGGAAGCACAGAGTTACTGGAACACAGCAATTCTACACCAACAGGATCTCTTGGTGCCCCAACACACACATCTGAAGGCAGAATTTCATCCTAAACGTTCAGTGTCTGGGGCAGGGGTTACACCGCTTCAGAACAGCGGCCTGTACACATGCACAGCTCAAGATCTCTCTTCACAGAGCTGCACTTCCAATTAGATTCTTTTCATTCAGCTATTAAACAGGCAAATTCAACTAGCACTGCACTACTTCAAAAGTATTCTTAAAAAGCACAACTAAAATGTTTCCAAAAGTAGTCTAGTGGAATGCTATGAATTTGGGTATATCTTTTTGAAATGTTGAAAGTTCTTGACACAAAAAACTGCATTTGTAGCAAGAAGTTGGCTGTTGTGGGAAGCAGAACGGAGGAAGTACGTTGCAGAAGAACAGCCTAATATTAGTCCACGGTTACGTCACTGTGGAAGTGATGGTTTAGCCCTCAAATACAAGAAACAAGCTATGTTACTAAAGTAGCCTATTACCGAACTTGCTTTATCAGTATCGCGTCCTGCGATACTACTTCACAGGTGGAGGAGCAAGTCACTCTGATAATGAACTAGCAGAAAGTGCTTCCTCGCATCCAGCATTCACTGTGTGTGCATGTTGCCTAGCGAACAGAGGCTGCACCAGGGGGGAAAAAAAAAACAGGCAACAAGTCTGCTTGTCTCACTGCAGTTGTTTCCTGTATTAAACACTCATTTTATCCTTTTCAAGGAGCCCAATTCCAGACACCGCAGCACCTTTTCACTGCTGTAGCCCACATCAGGTCTCACTTAGTCATGGCTCTGACCCACAGATACAAGAGTGATCCCTTGCAGCAGTCCTGTTTTTGTTTTACCCACCGTCTCAGAAGAGTCCCTCTCGTGGCCTAAGTCAGCAAGATGAACCACTGCTTGTTTCTGTGAAGCCAGTCTGAATTGCACAGCCTGAGGTCGTGGCTCTGAGGGGCATATTCTCAAGAAACACTTTCTCATGAAAGTAGTATTTTATTTTACAGAACCACTGACTACCAGCTCTTCCCATTGAATGCAGCATATTCATATTACGGGTGTAAAAACAATGCCTCCCATGCCAATGGGATAATGCAGTCTTAAGTGCAATAGCTCTAGGATTGATTCAATCAGCAGCATTTAAGTCATGCATGATGAAGTATTAGTTCCTAAAAAAACTGCATACTGATTTATTTTGGACTACTAATGTTGACTGAAGGCCATTTTCCCTTCTCTTTTGTACTTATTTTTTCCCAGTTCACAGTTTAATAAAGACCTAGAAACCTTAATAAAGACCTAGAAGGGGCTGGCAGGGGGAAACCCACACAATAAAAACATCCTATATTTCCAGATCACGGCTCTCTAGGTCGTCTTTAGACGATCTCTGTGAATTCCAGCCTAAACTTGTAAGTCTCTTCTACATATCCGCCACTCTCCCATTTCCGATCATTTCAAATCTGGCTCAATAAAAGCCATCTGAGAACAAAGGACATGAATACTGATGACAAGTTTTGCATCTAAATGATGTCTTAGACAGTTTTAAAGGGAACGCAAATTTCTTGTCCAGTTTCAAGGACACAGCACTGTGCAAAAGGAAAGGCTTAGTCCAGAACTTCCACTCCTGACACACCCACAGTGCCTCAGTCATCTAGGTTTAGGATGGCCAAGAGCTGCAGGAAGAAGTACTTCTGGTTCCACATCAAAGTGCATGACTGGTAGTAATTACTCCTCCAACACCTTTCACCACAACCTTGGCAGCACTCCCTCCTCCCAAGATCTGTAATTTAAACTACTTGTGTGATTGTGCCCTAATCCAGATGAAAAGAGGCCAACTTTTTAAAGAACATGAGCTAGTCTTGACTGAAGGAAACTAGGGATTGACCACAGAAATGAGCCCACTGGTAGATGTGAAAGACTACCAGGAGGAACTGCACCAGTTAGCATAGCTGTTGACCAGCTTCACCTTTGCCTGCAGCCCCAACATGCAGGCTTATACAGGACTGAACTGTGCATCAGTCTTATGCTTCTTTCTCCTCTGCAAAGGGAAGAAATTCTTCTTACGGAATCACTGTGGTAAGCAGCATCAGTGTTTACAAGTCCCCATACCTCTCCTTACAAGGCTCTCAGAGGATGGCAAGGGACTGTGCCAGGGTCTCCCAGCTTCTTGCAAGAACTCCTGTTCAACATTACTGCTACTTTGCTTGCCAAAGGAGCATGTGTGAAAGCTCACAGTATTCAGACAACGGCTTGCTCTTCTTTTCTCCTGGTTGGCCTTACTGGCATGAGTTAGTATTGGAATTTGAGAACAGGAAAAGATGCATGCTGTTTTACCCCAACAACACCACCCCTGAAACCACAGCTCCCATGATCAGCTAAGACCCCTCACTCAAATCATTGAACCAGCATTATAGTTAAGATCCTGGCACCTGCCTGATAAACTGAGATGTGGTGCCATTTTCAGTGGTGACTTGGGTACAAACCTTCAAAAGCTGTTCAGTTCACATCCACAGCACCAAGACCTGACATGAATTTTTTTTGAATGCTAGATGCCAGGAAGCCAAGGAAGCACAGCCTTGCTACACAAGGAGCTTTTAAGCTCTGCTTTGCTCTGCACCCAATCTGAACAAATTATACATGGCAAGAAAGACACAGCACTTGCAGGAAACCATCGAGAATTACAGCTCCAAAGGGTCCAATGTCCTATCCACCAACATCAACAGGAGCAAAATGAATCTACTATGTCTTTCTTTTAAAAAGGTTAAAGTAAGTTTAAAGACAATGTTGTGGTAGACAAGCAGATCAATTAAACTAGGACATTGCAGCTGCCCTTCTGAGAAGGGAAAAGTAACAAACACCAGACTTACCTAGCAAGAGCACTGCTGCTTGCTGGAAAAATATTTTGCCGTTGGTACTCATGTTCCGTTAACACGGTAATTTGTTTTAGGACTTGCAATATCTATAGTTTACAGGGGATTGCATACTATCTGGACCTGGAAGGGGAACTGAATGAAGAATTCAGTAAGATTAATACAGAACTGTCTTGTTTGACTTTCAACTGTTTAAAAAACTTGTACATGCTTAGTCCACAATCCACCCCATCCTACCCTTGATAGAAAGGCATCCACTGATTTTACAGTCCCTGGGTGAACCACAACCCTCTTTTTCTGACAGTTGATGTAAGGAGCCTAATCCTTTTTTTAATTAGATATTTTTGTATACCCCTCTGCTTCTTTATGTTTAAGCAGGAGAGTCCACAGCTGTAGAAACTGCTGAATTTAGGTGTGTTTGCAATTAGATAGCAGCTTTACTAAATCAAAAGCAGAAGAGTGCCAGCTGTAGACTGTTTCTCCCTCCCCTCCTCCTCTCTGGGAGTTCTTGTCTAGGCATTGATAAATTAAACTAGGCATCTCCTTTGACTAAGATGGATGGCAAGCTTAAATGATATCCACTGAACAAATGGCTGATTTGTGTATTCTTCCATTCAGGATTAGGCTAATAAGATGTTCATTTATGGATCTATTACTCAGTCATTTAACTGTGTGAAATAAGAGGAGTGGGTAAGTTCTCCAATCTAGGGATTGATTTCCATCTTTTTAGGTTATGTAGAGGATTTGCTAAAGTAGTTCAGTAAAACAAGTCAAAATACTTATTAAACTGACACAGTACTTTAAAACACATTAGAAAAACTAGGCGTGTTTGAAAACTCCAGGTTTGAAGTGTGGGTAGGGGGGGGGGGGGGGGGGGGGGCCGGGGGAGGGGGGACAGTTGTTGTAAGCATGCAGAGTCAGATTTTCTCAGAGGGAAACAAGAAAACCAAAGCCAGTGGCATTGTCTGAGCAGTCTGTGGGCCCCCTTGCTCACTGCTGCAGGGAGCCAAGAGATGGAGGAGGTGGAGCACTGGCCTGCCTGGGAGCTGGCTGAGTGACCTGAAGTTACAGCGGCCATACCTTGCTCAGGAAAGCTTCACAATCATACAGACAGCTGGTTTCAAGTAGGGGAGTGCAGCCTTCACACTTAAGTCACAGAGGAAGATGGAAAGAGGGTCCCAGGGACAGGTGAGTGAAGAAAGGAGCCTCTGGAAACACATCTGAACAGAAAAGGGACAGGAAAGAACAAGACTATTAAGTTTAAGGAGATGAACAGGAAGCAAAAAAAAAAAGCCATTGCTGAAATTGGAAGCACTCTGGGCACCTCAAAGAGCATTCTCCATGCAACACCACAGGCAAGCACCTTCTGCTGCATGCAGCAAGTCCCTGTAGCATGCTGCCACTGATGGTACACAGTGCAGGAGCTTGCAGATATCATAAGGAAATAAGCACCTGCAGAGTCTCATAATTACACTGGGCAGAATTCACAGGACATGTGTGAAACAATAAAGCCTAGTTTCCTACAAATTTGCATGCGCTAATCCTCCCTGGGACCAACAGTACCTACCCTCCCTCTTCCCCCTCCAAATCAGTATCATCAGGCCCTATACATAATCCCAATCTCCTGCAAGTCAGTCAAGTCTCCCCACAGAAAGCTACCAAAGTTTGGTACTAGGATACAAAGTTCAGCAGACAGCAGGGCAGGCAACAACTGCTAAGGCTCGCGTAAGAGAAATAAGCCTTTTGCTTTAATATTTATGCCAGCTTCATCTTCTAGAGCCCTGGACCAATTTGTTTCCATTCTTTCTTTATTGGTTCTAATAGGGAAATATTTTGCTCAATTCCAAGACATCTGCAGTGTTTGCAGAGGCAGAACTATCTGAACTTAGTTAGAAGCAGTATTGGTGTACCTGGCACAACACTAAATGCTAGCACCAGCTGTTTTGCCTAAACACAACTGCTATAAAGGGCATTTCAACTGAAGTCTTTTTCAAACAGGAAAATGGATTTTCAGGTAAAGGACATCCTCACAAAGTTTCTCCCAACTCCTCCCCAAGCTGAGCTCTGGGTGCACTACCTGCTCCTGAAGTGCCACCAACAGACACCTTGCATACCTACTTCCTTTTTTGCAACACTTAGAATACTATCTTGCTTATGTGTGGAAATCAAGAGTTTTATCTCAACCTAAAACTCTTTTGTCAAGACAAGCATTTTCCTAGCCAGTTCTGCTGAACTTTCACCCACGAGGAACGAGACTATGAGTAACACATTGAACTTGAACCGGCTGGCAGCTACAGCACAAACACTTCAGTCACTGAATCAGGAACAGATTTGACCCAGCCGCCTCAAAGCTCTATTTCTTCCTCCCTAACAACAGGTAGAGCAACTCCTACTAATCTGACTGTGGGATGGTAGGGGCATGCTAAGAATAACCCTGTAGTAGCCAGAGTACCCAATCTGGAGAATAAAAACTGGAATGATGTTCCTGTAACAGAAAACTAACTGTTTTCCTCCTCTACCTCCTCCAATAAGAAACTGTTTTCCTTCCTTACTACGCTTGCTACACTTATTTTATTCTTCCTGCCTTGGCACAGCAGCAAGGATGCTAATGAGAACTTTCACTCCGACCATGGTACTTTCTCAGGAGACACTTCCTTAGGTATCAGTAGCAAGCAGGCAGGGCTTTTCTGCCCTGGCAAGCCATGTCACCTGCCTGCCTCAGAGTTATTCTGCTAGAGTGAACGAGTAGTCAGACTGGGATTACACAGTTCTTTCCTTTGAGCAGGTTAGGCTTTCGGAGCCCAGTCTCACTTATCTTGTTTCTTCTTGTTCCCTGTTACGTACAACTTGTGCCATTACCAGCATTTTTTTTTTTTTTAAAGCTCCTGAACCGTACTTTTCACTACCTTTTAAGCCCATGCCTACAGCATTTGCATTGCATGCAGCTGAACAAACTGAAATTAGGTCTGGCCTTTTTATTACCATTTTCCCTTTTCAGTTCTCTGGAGGATAGGGGTAGGGGGGGAAGGGGGTGAAAGGCTTTATGTTTTATGCACGTTACCAATGTATCAAGATAATTATTTAAAATAGGCACAATATCCTAACACTAGATGCTTTTCTTCTATCTAGTCATTATAGCCAGAGCTATAAAAGAAAACATGCACATACATACAGATGGTATAAGGGAAAGCCCGTCCCTAGACAGAGGGGATCACTGCCAAGGTAATTGGTGTAAGACAAGACTGTAATGCTTAATTTTAATACCATTTAGGGAGAAGTGTGTATCTGCTCCAGAGATGGAGAACACAAGGTCATTCACATCTGATTTTTATTAAGGCATTAGCCTTCTTTATGTTTCTCACTCATCAACAGAAGGAAAATTGTTTGTGTATACCCCCCTCACAGCTGCCCAGATAGCACTCCTGCCTCAGTTTTTTGTCTGAATGAGTATCACAGGCAAGTGAGCAGCAGGGAAAAGCAGGTTTCCTGACATGAGGCTTTGATACTTGGCACCTAGCTCCCCTCAGATCTCCTGATTCAGAATCCCTCTTGGGAAGGACAGGAAATTACACAGTAGATCTCTTTTTGAGCTAAGATCTGCAGTCACTAGTCATCCATCTACAATCTACAGAGACTGTGTGTCCTGAAAAACAAACGGGCGGATCTTCAAGGACTGGCTGATGTGCTAGCAGTTAGTTAAGGGATGGGGAGAGGTTTTCTGCTGGGGGGCGGGTGAGGAACACTGTCTGGTTCTGCCAAATTAAGCTAGGAAATAATTAAAGACACTAATGTTTAAACTGCTGTCATTAGGATCCAGCCTTAACAGATAACTCTGCATGAGCTAGCTTTTGGCCCCTCCCTCCCTTCCTCCCCCCAACCTGCAAGACAGTTCCTAGTTGTTTGTAGTATACCAGAAGTACTGCTTGTACTTCCACAATTAGCTCCACAGTGACATCAATATAACTGGCCAGGCTCACAGCAGTATTTGTGTTAAGCTGCTGCACTAGTGCAAGGCACCAACGCCTCCATTGCTGGGGGTTTACAGTTCAAAGCATAGAGCTACACTCAAGGAGCAACATGTTGGTTCAAGAGCAGGAGGGCAGAGACAACCTGAAAGGCAAGCTGAACTTGTGCCGCTGCCTAGTGTTCTTTTAGCCAATACATCTGGATAGGGATTGCTAGAAATTAAGAAAAATATTGCTACAGAGAAAAGGGCATATTGGTTAGCATGGATATTCACTAGACTGGAGAATGGTCTCTTGCATACTATGCGTTTTGATAAAAGCAAGGAATCACACAAGGGTGTTGACAAAACAAAAGCTGTAGACATCAGGTTGCTATGCTCTAGCATAGTGCACACGCTCTAGAAACAAGGAGGAATCAGTGGCAAAAGACACATTACTCTTCCTTTCATGACCTCGTGCATACATTTCTAACACACTGACTAGGAATTCACACCCTTTCCTGAGCTTAAGTTAATGGCTTTATTCCAAGGCTGCTGCAAGTCAACAGAATCCTTCTCACTGACTTCACAACGCTAACACCAAGCTTGATCACGTTCTCTACTCCAGTCACTCAGGGAATAGCTTAGTACCCAGGATTTTAACAACGCTGCTGAACATTAGAGGCAAGATGATGATTACTCTCCAGCTTGTATTTACCCAGCACTTTTGTCCTTCTGCTTAACTTTGAAACATGAGTTCCAAAAGAGCACTTTCCTATTTAGTAACATTGGTACCTTCCAGAGACAAAAAAACAGGAGTGCATAGAAGAGTTTTTAATTTACACTTCATCTACCAGGTCATAGTTAATTTAATAGGTCCCTACATTCATACAACAAATTACCCCTCCAGAAAACTGAGCTGGTGCCAGGATACAACTGTTTTGTTTAATATACTCGCTGTGTAATGAAAGGATATCTCTTTATATGTGCTGTCTTGTACTTTACATTAATAAAAGTTTTTATGCATATTAGTGCTCTATTTCCTCTAAGTAAGCTGTCATTTCAAGCAGATAGTTATGAAGAAAATATAAACATAGCTTCAATACATATATTTTCATCTAACAAAATGTTTTCTTTCCTGCCTGCTAAAGATAACAGAAGCAATCAGATTTTGCAAGGGGTCAGCTGGAGAAAGCAGTAGTTCACTCATCTCAGTTCCAAGTACAAAAGACACTGCCACTACTAAAAGCCTTTGGCAGCAGGTTGTGCAAACATTTGCAGCACAGTTTACCTCTGCTCTCAGTTCCTTTGGCTCAGCTTTCCTGTGGCAGGGTCCAAACATACCCATAAGCTCTGCAGGGTTAAATCAGTTGTCAGATATAAAAGCAGAACAAGAATAGATTTAAACTGTCTCACTGTAGTGAGAAGAGATGGAGAAGTGATGACGATTCGGTTGCTGTTCCACACCTCTGACATGGATGATGGAAGCATACTCCAAGCATAAGGGTAGGAGACAAAGTCTCTTTTTGTGTTTGCCTCACCCTGCCCTCCCTATCTCAGGCCTACCCACATGGATAGGGGGAAGGCAGCTTCAGTCACTCAGCCTGTGCCTCAGAGGGGCAAAGAGCTACTGCAAGAAAAGCTAATCCTTTGTGACACTGCTGAAATTCAAGGAGAGAAAGGAAAGAGATAGGAGGAATCTTACCCAGTTGGGAAGGCAGTTCCTTCTTCTGCAACTCAGTGCTTTTTTAGCAGCATAAGGCTCTGGGGAGCAGGCTTCTGCTTTTGACTGAACTGCAACCGAACCCCTCTCTGCTGCGTAGTTGGAGAACTTTTACACCTCTACAGAGCAAAGACAGAAACACAGGTGAAAGGAAGCAGAAGCACAGAGAATAAGTCCTTCTTAAATGAGCAAAAATGGTTTTCTTCTGTTCATGTCCCAGGGCTCAAATGATGGCTTTGGACTGCTCTCGCTACACCAAGAGCAAACAACATAAGAAATCTCCCGTCACTGTAGACGGGTGCTTGTTTCTAGATGTTCAGATGCCCCTCCATCCACCCGCCTGCCTAGCGAACCTTTTCCCCCATATGGTCATTTGTATCCTGACTGTCACCCCAAGATAGCAGGAACACCTCTCAGAGGCAACAACCCCTTTTCAGAGAGGTCCTTTGAAAAACAATTCCAACCTGGTTTTGATCTTTTCTAGTCCAGCCGCTTTCAAAAAATCAGTTCAGACCACCGAGCTGTGACCAAAGAAAAAGCTCAGTCATACTTTTGCTTTTTCCCTCCTTTCACATAATGCCTTTAGGAATGTATCTATTTTTCACTGCAGAATAATATGCCTGTTCCAGGTACTGGCATCTTTCTGATGTACCGGGATTCTGTGCTAATTCATTATTCATCACAGTGAAAGCCAAATAAATAAATATTGCCATAGACCTATTTCAGTAACAATTATAATCTTTTCCAGGTACCACTTGCTTCATTATCCAAGTGAACAGTTTTATCTTACCCACAAGGCAGGCCCTCCAAATTCACAGTTAAGCAGATATAACCTTGGTTATTTAACACGGTCTAAATGGCACTAATATTCCTCTTAACTGCTCCTCTTAAACAGTTTCCCCCTATAGTTGTTAATCACATTAAAAGGTATTGGATATATAATTTCCTTTAAAAATGGGGAAAATACTGGTTGCTTCTTTTCTTTAGAGTGTTACATACAATGCAGCAATGATTAATGCCATGAGTGTTAAAAGGTAGTCAGAAAAAAGCTCATAATTGTTGACTTATACCTTAACCAGACACCAGCTTTCAGCTTTTTTTTTTTTTTTTGGATTTCTACTTTGCTTGGAGCCTAAAATTATTTGGCATGTGTCATCATTACATTAATCAATACATGTTTTGTCTTCCACAAATCTGCCTAATTGCTTTTCTCATTTAGACAACCCTGGAGTCATTTGCTAATGAACATTGTCATGCACTAATACAGCATAGTGGATTTACATGTGACATTCTAAGCTGATTTAAAATGAGAAGGGGAAAGACATTAAGCTTGTCATTACAGGTGCTGGTGCCTTCCTGAGCTATTAGCATACAATTATTGTGTAGCAGCCTGGAAATTAAGGACCAGATACACTTCCCATCAACCCACTGCTATTTGTACTGTTCCCTACCTCACCTAAGCAAGAGCACTGTCATACTTAAGCTGCTACTTGAGATAAAAAAAACTATGGACACTTTATGTAAAAACTAAGCCATAACTTTAAGGTTTTATGTCTCAGCTCAACCCAGACCAGCAAACACAGCCTGTGGCCAGGCCGACACTCCTAGGTGCAGGACTGCACCTAGCACTGCTCATGCTCACACCTCCCTTTGTTGTAGCCTACTTACCTATTAGAAAAGCCCAGAGCTCCTGCAGAAGAGGTCTGTACTTGCACCTTGTTTTCTTCATATGCTCCCCCATATCACACTGCATCTTCTCCCACCCCTTTACAGGTATTTTCCAGCCTGGAGAGCCTTTCCACCTCCTCATGAGTGCAGCTGAGTCTGACTGATAAGAACTTCAGGTTCTGCCCACCCCTTTCCAATCACCAGGTGGTTAATTGGCACCCAGGTGTGGGTCATTTGGTTTTCTTTCCCCTCTCACTCTCTATCATGAGATAATCCTTTCTGACAGAATCTTTCAGGAATCAGATCCAATGATAAACAGGTGGCTACATAAAACCTATTCCACATAGGGAAGTATCCAACATCTGAAATTTTGGTGCGTGTTTGAGCATCCAGTGTGACACATATGGGAAATAAATTATCTGTACTTTTTTTTTTAATCCCCCTTGACAAAGTAAAGAAAAGGATCAGAAGAGTTTAAGGTCTTTTTTCACTTCTCTCATGCCCTTTTTTCCCCCAACTTTAGAAATATCAAGGTTTTGTCTTTCCTGCTTGTTTTCCGGAGATGTCCTTGGAGGGGTATGGAAGCAGAGCAAAACCTCAAGCAAGCCCTAATTGAACTAGTGGAGTGCTAAACGTAAGGAAAAGCAGATATCCTTTCTTGACTGCATATTAGCTACTTCCTTTAATAAACATCCACAGAAGTAGCCATAATTGAGGAAGTCTTACACGCCCTAACATCTCCTGCCTGCATCTCCTCTGTTGTTACACAAAAGCAAACGGAGAGCTGTTTGAAGAAGGACCCTCCTGATAGAAAAGAGAATCTTTCTTACCTGCCAGCAGGTCTCTCTGTTCTCAGCTCATTACAATATTTGCCAGTATTTGCTGGTGTTTGGTAGAAAATAAGTGGTATATAAGATTTCAGCCCAGAAAAACAAGTTCCATTGGAAGCTGAAAAGCTTTCAGACTCAGAACAGGGCGCTCACTCCTCCCAGGTTTACATGCTTTGTTTATAAACCTCAGCTAGGGGGGCAATAAGTAAATGGGGTTGCAAGAGAGCAGAGAAACAGCTTATGACGCTCTGCAGATAGGAAGGACACCGATTGCACCCATAAACTGCCATGATTTATGACTAACATTATCTCTTTCAGAGGAAGGAGAAGGGTAGTTAAAGGTGAAACTAAAGTAAATTTTCCTGCCTCCACACAAAGCCTAGTGCTGAACAGAACAGACTTCACTGTGACTGTAGACTCTGTTTCCATCCCTCTCTGATTGTGATATAACAAGTTACAGACACACAAAAAACCCATCTGTATCAGTCAGGAGTATTGCTACCTAATTCTGGAGTGCCTCGGCCCAGAGCAACACTGCCTAATTTGGAGCAATGCTATGTAATCTGGAGCCATGCTGCCTAATTCTGGAGTGCCATCTACCGGCATGCCATTACCTGTCACACACTCAGGCAGCATACACAGCCACCAGTCTCAGAGCCCTCCAGCTGTCCATAGTGTCTTCCAGGTTAAATATCATGGACAGAAGCAAAATTTGCAAGGTAGAGAAAAAAGAAAACAGAACAGTTTAAAAATAAATAATCTTAAAAAAACAATGCTGAGATTTTTTGCATCCTATACACAGGCTGTGGAGGGAAAAATGCAGCCATTTATTTAAATGCATGCTTAGGTTTTCCTACCACAGATATAGAGACCTTACTTTTTTTTGGAGGCCACAAATGATACAGAGCTTTATATGGCGCTTTAATGGGAAGTGTCTGAAACGACAAATTAAGAGAAAGAGTGTTTGTGACAGTGATAAAGGGAAAGTTTAAAGCTTGTATTTAGATAAATTGGCTGGAAAATTTGATCCACACAGTCTTTCAAATATGATTATACAAACATCATTTGCATAAATATTATAATTAAAATTCTGCTTATGGCATAATAAAAAGGGAAAATAGTATTAAATGATCAAGGCATTTGAACGTTTAAAATACCACTGTGTGATGTTTCATGCTATCCATTAAATAAGTAATTTATTGCAAAATCTATCAAGGGCAAAAGGAAATTAATTCAGATAAGGCTGGCTTTTTATTTTGCAGTTCTGTTTTGCAGAGGATATCATTACTTTCAGAACATACTTGGTTTTTTCCAAGGTACTAATTCAAAATAACTATAATATTGGATTTGCTTTACAGTTGTGACACTTAAAAGAGTTCAATATCTTCAGTGCATGCTGATAAGTAACTCATGATAATAAGGGCCAATAATCATCTGTTCTCAAGTGGGAGCCCCAACCCAGAGTGCCTCTTATGTTATCCTGCAGGGAGGCTGAGCAAAGATTTCACAGCTGAATTTTGTACTGGTTCAGTAACTTAATGCAGACAACCCGAATTTAAGGGGGGGGGGGGGGGTGTCTTTCTGTGCCTCCTGTTCCTTGCCAATCTCCCTCCCTCCCTTTGCAGTTTAGCGCTAGAATGGAGGCCAGAGCTTTTGCTCCACATTCAATAGCTACCCCAAATAATCATCAGAAGGCAAATTTAAGTTGGTATAGGGATGATTTAGAAGCAGGTCAGCTTGAATGCTCATGGGTTTCCAGGAATATATTTGAGTATATGCCTGACCTTAAAAATGGAGATATTTAGTGGGTGTCTTTCACGTTTAAGAGCTTCGTAATACAGCTGCTAGAGTTTGGGTGCTAAGCTACAAACAATATTGACCTTTCCAGGTCTTAAGTAATCTTAATGACATCTCCAAACTTTGGATATGCCTATTAGACAACGGATGGTTTGGTCCAGCATGTGATAGAAACAGATTGTACTACCAGGTTCAGATCCTTACAAGCAGACCTAGTTCTGATAGCATATAAAACATGGCACTGACATTTCTTTCCAAAAACGGATGAACTGGTGTATAGGTCATCTTTGGAGGAGAGAGCCCATCCCTATCACCCCAGAAATCTCCCTCAAAATTGAAGCTGGTGAAACTGTACTAATAAACACAATTTCTGGATAGGACTCATTTTACATCACCATCAGCGTCATTTTTCCGCAGTTGTGTAAGACCATGAAAAGGTTCCAGGCTTTGGATCAAGGTCTGACTCTATTTTTAGTTTATCCAAAGCAATTCAGCCATCGAGTTACAGACAGTTACAAAGCAATTTGTCATATTCATTTCTCCGCTGCCTTTTTATTTAGCCTAGCCATAAATGGCACTTTTCTGTTTCAAGATGACACATTTTCATCTAGCTGCAAAACTTGCGGGGCCCCAACTGTGGAATAAAGAAAGCTGCTCTAAGGGGAAAGCCATCCTTTATCTGCTAAGACATAGCCAATCCTTTCAGAGGACACCAACTGTATCATATTTTGTATCTATATACATGTGTGTTTAAACACCACAAAAAGACTAGTGATATCAGTAGCCAGTAGAAAAGCTGCAATGGCCACAGCAGAGACTTTCAA